ACACATGTCAAGGTAAAAATGTCATAGATTTTATAGAAGTTCATRTTAACCAATTCACAGTAAGTTGTCCTATTTACTCCTCTGTGAACTCTCTGACTTAACTAAAGCTAAGCYATTGTTTATTTTGTTTATAGGATCTGTCATGCATAAACAGGGATTTGAAGAAGGTCATAGTCATCGACTGCAACAAAAGCGCAGCGAAGTATAATGAACGAAATGCAATAATATTAAAGAAATGGGAAGGCGATCCAAAGGACACGACCCTGTTTGATTTGGTTCCTTTATTACAAAGTAAGTACTTGCATGCTACAAGGTGAAACTTTAGCCTGAAACATGTGTTGGTACCTTGCGAGCARAGGTTGTTTTGCTACCCCTCCATAGTGCTGAGCAGCAGGCTTGCCCCCCCCCAGACCTAAAGCCAGAACGAGGGGTGGGGAGGGGGGGTGCACAAAAAGACTTCTGGAAGCAGGGTCTTCTGTCGGAGGTATTTTACAGCAAGCCAGCGTTATATTTTTCCTTGTGAACAATGTAATTTGACTTGCAAGGTCAAGATTAGTTTAGACCTTCAAATCTTATCAATACCCTGAGATCAAAGTCGGGGCTCAGCTAACTCGTTAATACCGATTTGGAATGAAGTGTGTAAGGTATTGTTCAGGTTGGAAAACTGGAAAATACAGATAAAAACGAAAAAAAGGGAGAGACCTGACAAACTCCAATCATGTCAGGACTGCCACCGCTACCAAACCAGATAGTCCGATATTAAAAACTGCCACAGGAAGCCCAGTTACGAATCTGTTGAACTTTGATGTAATAAAGTCATAACATTTATCATGCTTTGAAGTCTTGATATATCCGGAAAATTCATGCAAATCAGCAGTTTTTTTTCATTTTTGTCATTCTTGTTCTTGTAGCTATTGCTACATCSAATATAGAAGACGTACGCACAGTTCTAGACTTTTACAAAAATGAAGAAGACATCGTCRCTGCTTTCAAACGAAATCAGGCAAGACTACTTGAAGCAGAGAAAGCCAGACAAGAGCAAGCCAACCAATCGCAAAGCTCATCTTGGTCAGGTGTTTTTGGGCGTGGTCTCTTCGGAAAACCAAATGTAAGTTCRTTTTATGCAAATTGTTTATTTTCGTTCATTTGTTTGCATGTTTGTTTTTGTTTGTCTTAGATGTTGGCTTCATTGGGGGAGAGGGGGAGGGGTGTGAGGGGGTGGGGGTGGAGAACTGTTACCCCAACAACAATCGTTGGCTTTCTGAATTAATTAAGCCCTCATGGTTATTACAGACAGCTGGTACCGTAACCTTTTATTTTCTCTTATWTATCCTATATAAAYTGTAATTGTAATGRATGGTATCAAGAGAGTAYAAACTTCATACTCTCTTGATGGTAAARATAAAGTTGTTGTTGTTGTTGGTAGGATGTTTTGCACTGCTCGTGTTGTATTAGTATGGGGTAGTGGTTGCACTCTTGGCCCATTTTACACGAAGGTACAAAGTGTACAATCTTATGACTTCTTGTTTCATTGTTTCAGAAACCATCATGAAACAAGAAACAACAAGTAAACAACCCAAAGAAATCTCTACTGACTTGCTAACGAAACTAACTTAAATCAAAGAAAAGAGAAGCTATGAAAACACACTTCAGTAAATTTCTGCTTGTGATTCAGTTTCATCCAACAAATCTGTTGTTGTCGAACCAGAGTCGCGACCATAGTCGTTTGCGACTAAAATCGTATCCAATTTA